GGACTGGAAGATGGTTATTATTTATTTATTTATTTATTTATTTATTTATTTATTTATTTATTTATTTATTTATTTACGTCCTACTCGCTCTGAGATGTAAATCAAGCTTAAAGCTGAGTTTTTCTGAGATTGCCCCATATGTCCATATCACTGCAACATGGAGGAAAATCTGTGTAATTCACAGACAATACGTATGACTTTTTAAGGGTGCCAACAAATATCTTTGTGTGAGCTGTAAGAAAAGCAACATGTGTGTGTGTGTGTGTGTGTGTGTGTGTGTGTGTGTGTGTGTGTGTGTGTGGTTTACAAACACCAACCCTTTTAGAAAATGCCCTGCTCCTTTCGGCGGTCGATGTCTCTCTTCAGTTGGCAGGTGGCACACACCGGGCAGCAGTTAGTCACCATGAAGTCATTACACAAAGAACCCTGGAAACACAAACAGTTGTTCTCAGGGACGTCATGCATCAGACTCATTAACAACACACTTCAGACGTGATCAGATCACATGCAATCATTCAAGATATCACATGAAACTGTGCCCAACACAGGGTTTAACAACATGACTACATTTAGTCAGTTCTCCCCATAAAACAGTCTTTTAAGTTCTGGAATGTAAGACGGCAATTAAAATTCATTTCTAGAAGACATGCTGGACCTTTATTTATTAATTTATTTAACACAGACTATTTTTTCATTTGCTCATGGTGTTTAGTACTGGTTATCTGTCGCTTTGTTAAATCAAGGCCTTATTAACAACAACTGCCTTTTTAAGATGTCCAAATCTGCTAATAAATGGTAAATGGACTGTGCTCATACAGCTCTTTTCTATCCATCCAGGACACTCAAAGCTCTTCACACTACAATCTTTGTTCTCATTTATCCATTCACACAGCACTCTCTTAGGTCTCTACAAAGCTAAAATGTACAATCATCTATGGAGACTAATCAGTGCCAGTCACATTCATACACTGACGGGACACATCAGAGGCATTGACACTTCAACATGTGACGACTAGCAAAGGAGCTCTCTGGTTAGATAACAACTCTCAGACGTCCGGTGCTAAGTGCACAAAGTGGGTAAACAAATCAGATTTTTGTCAGTGATAATAGAGTAAATACTGTGTTTGCATTAAGGAGGAAGTTCAGTGACTGAGCTGGGAAAATCTACACCTGTCAGGGGCTGTAAATCATGGTAGCTTTAAACGACACTAATCAAACAAGACAAAATAAAAGATAACAAAAGGCTTCAGATACAAACTAATCTTCTGTTATAACTAAAAGTACAGGACAAAAATTTAATGATTTCTGAGATTAGAACTTAATGAAAAAATACATAAATGAAAACGAGGATAAACCACAAACAGTTTGAATGTTGTGTGAGTTGTGACTAAAAACAGAATACAGGCATTTGGAAATCTCATGCATATTGAACTAGAATACTGGAACATAGTAAAAACAATAAATACTGAAACTAAGAAATTGTATAATGATTAAAGAAAAAAATAGTCATTTTAATTTAAACGGACTCACACAGTGATTGCTGGAGTTAAACACTATTGACCCAGAACAAAGGAATGGGTAAAAAATGCACTGAACTGTTTTAGGACAATGTTCCTCAAACAAAAATCAGAAAAACTTTGAAAATCACATCATCTACAGTTCATAATATCATCACGAAATATCAAGGTATCATGTTGTATACCACATAATAGAGATTTATACAAAGAATAAGCCATATGTAAATGTTGTCCAGAAGCAGCCTTCTCAGAGCCAAGTGTCTTTTGAAATGGACTGAGTCAAAAAGGAAAACTGTCAGATTAATTTAAATCTGTTAAAGTGTCTGTGACGTCGTAATACATATAAATGCCTTTTTAGAAAGAGGACATTGATAAAATATTGCAAAATAAATGTCATATCGCTGAGATGAACAGTTGTTGAGACATATGCCTGTAAAGTAGCAGGAAGTGATGTCACATGGGAATGTCTGAATGTAAACAGAGCGTTGTTACAACAGCTACAACACAGACTGTACAGAAGAATCTGATGTTTCTTTAGATTATTTTGAGTTTATTTGAGATGAAGAAGAGTTAAAGTTTAAATAATATTGTTTCAATAAACAAAGACCATAGAGTTTTCTTTGTTAAAGTGTTCCCCTTTGATGTCACTTCCTGTTTCACTTTGGCTGAGCCAAGTTCAAAAGAAAAAAAAATATATTGTGTGTATTATTCCAACAATATCACCATTTGTATCATATTTGCTACGCAGGATTCTGTGACCTATATTTTATCAATGTGATCTTTTTTCCCCTCAAAAACCTGTTGTGTAAAATGTGAGACATGTATTCTGCCCTCTGGTGGATTATCAATGTACTGCAGGAAGAGGAACTTCTTTTTTTTTTTTTTTTTTTTTTTTTTTTTTTTTTTTGCCTTTTCAAAATGTCTGCTGACATGAGGTCATCCACACGATTTTTTTCAGGAAAACTTTTGCTAATTTTGGAGAAGTTATGGTAAGAATAACATCAATATTGTTTGTAATTTTTTAATAAATACTTTCTGAGTTGAAACAATGCATAATTACTTCAAAAATATTTTTAATAGTACAGTTAAACCATGTTAAAAGACTCTGTTTTTACTGTAACCATTTAAAACTTAACGAGTTTTAAATGGTTACAGTAAAATGGCTGCAGTATCAAGCTTGATACTGCAGGTGCTCCAGTCCTGAATTGTCTTGTGACATTTTAGTAATTTAATCAACATTATTCTTGCCACAATACAACACTCACTATTGTGGATGACTGATTAATTACTGAAATGCCATTTGAAAACACATTTTGGCTATTTTCAAAGTGGTTTCCTTTGAAATTATCTCTACGCTGTACTGACTAAATATTTACATGTTAGATGTCAAAGAAAACTGAGGAAGAAGAGAGAAAAAAATAAAGTAAGAAAATGTCATCAATATGATAATAGATGACAATTTTTTGTAAAGTGTAAGGTACATCTGTGCCTGAACAAGGACAGAAACTGTATTTGTACCTACCACCAAGTTAAATAAGTGGCTGTAAAAAGTTAATTGTAAAAAAACAAAGAAGTAAACTTCCTACAGTGTTCTAAACTTGTTAAAAGTTATGGGCAAAACTGTCTTTTGTTTCTTAATTTAGCATTTTGTGAGCAAAATGTTACCAAAACAGCCCAGTGTATCAGATTTGATATTAAAAAATATATCATAAACAAAGTGATGTGGAAAAAAAATTGGATTTTGTTTAAATGCCCAATAAACGTGTCAGTTCTAAAAAATGTGAATTTTCTGACTATTTTTAAAGGGCCAGGCTTTATAGGGTTAAATGTAAAGATGTTTTCTTTGACTTTTTGTATTTGAAGTATATGCATGTCACAGACACTTTAAATCTGTTATCAGCACACTGTCCAAACACCTGCCTCTCTGATGGTATGGGGTTGCATTAGTACCTATGGTATGGGCAACTTCCACTACCATTAACATCAACATGCTGTCTTCAGGAATGACTGAATTGTTGTGATTTTTGTCCAATCTAAATAATGTTATGCACAAACTCATTGTGAAATGTCTTACCTACTGTCACTTTGGATTTAAGCTCAGTATTTGTCAAATTCACTGAATTGTAGCCATTTTTGTCTTGGCTATGATCAACTGGTTGTAGCAACAGTTCTGATCTGGGTTGGCTCCAAAGGTTAATAAGTTGTATACAAATCTATTGATTGCTTACTTTTGCTGAAAGTCATCTTTGGATAATGGTACATGAAACTCTTACTTTGATGTTGTATCTGGTTCTGTAGACACTGCGGATGGGCATGCCAAGACCACAAAGGCAACATTCATCCATGTTGCTGGCGATGGTGCAGCCAAGACACGGGTAGCAAAAACACCCATAGCAGCCTGTGGCACAGGAAAACATGTTACGTATATAAATATTTATGCTTGTTAAATATAGTTCTTATTTCTTTTACTAAAACACATTTCTTGAAATAAACCATCATTTTCTCTAAATTCTAAACCCAATTTTCAAACTACTTTCACAGAACCTCTTGCTGCAAAACTGAACTATGTCAGATCAGACCTTGAGTCAATCAAAAAGAAAAACACTACTGAGCAATCATTACACACAACATGAGAAAAAACACACAATGATCAGATATGAAGTTTTAAAATAATTTTTATTGTCCACACAGGAAAATGCATGTCAAGAACAAAACTCCTGTTTAGCACTTGTAGAGGAAAAACAAAAACATCACATCTGTAGTTTATAATTTATAAATCCATCAGCATGTACTGCCCTACTCTTCAGTTCCACAGTCTCAGGTCCTCTACAGGTCTGAGAGTTTGAGGTTCTGTTCAGTACAGCTGAGCTCTACTGGACACAGATCTCTGAGATTGTTCCCAGGATCTGTTGGAGTGTATGGTGTTGCTATTGAGCCACCAGCTTGAGCGCAGATATTACTGTATAATGAACAAAAAATAATATGAAGTGTGTGCGTTCAAATCACACACACACACTCACACACACACACACACACACACACACACACACAC